AGGAAGCTCGTATGAAGGAATACTCTCTAAGGCATTGGAAGGTGCAGTGAAGATGTTGGGGAGACCACCATCATTTGGTGGAGGTAAGGTAAAACCGATGCACAAGATTTCATGGACTTCAAGGAACAACTTTATAATATTCTTGCGTATGCGGAACCTAAATATTCGGATGCCTTTAAGAACTTGGAAAAGTTGGGAGACCATGAAGTACTACCAGCTACTTTCTCGGATGAAACGTATCAGACTATGTCAACGAAGCTGTACTCGTTATTGAATTCTTGGTTGTCAGGAACCACGAAGCAGCACGTGCGAGATCCCAGTATCGCTGGATCCCGGAATGGATTTGCTTTGTGGAAGTCATTGCTGAGGATGTACCAGCCGAGTACGAGAAGTCGGAGTTTAGCTTTGATGCAAGCGATTCATGGATACCCAAAATTTTCACCCGGACTAAGTGCTGTTGCACAAATGTCGAAGCTGGAAGAACTAGTCAAAGACTATGAGAGATGTAGTGGAGTGAGCTACCCTCGAGAGATTCTCCTGTCGACTCTCTTGAGATGTATTCCTAGTCCTTTGAAGGAACACATCCATCTTCAGCTTACGGATAAAACCACATACAGCCAAGTCAAGGAAAGCGTACTAGTCTACGAGCGGACTACGAGAAGCTGGATGCCGAACCAAGTATATCAACCTCTCAACAGTACCTAGGAGCAGTGGAGAATGCACCTACTGGTGGAGGACACCAAGCAATGGAAGTGAACCGAGTAGAGTACAAAGGAAAAGGATGGAAAGGAAAAGGCGGAAAAGGAAAAGGCAAGAAAGGTTATGGCAAGATGTTCGGAGGATTCGGAGCCATGCAGGCAGGTAGAGGATTCGGAAGGTTTGGTCGAGGTCGAGGCAAAGGCAAAGGTCGAGGTAAAGGTAGAGGAAAAGGTAAAGGTAAGAAAGGTGGAAAAGGCAGAAAAGGCAAAGGAAAGAGTAAAGGAAAAGGAAAGAAAGGAAAAGGGAAACGACTTGGAAGGACAGTTTGTAGACTTTGTTATCAGGAAGGACACTGGGGAAATGAGTGCCCCAACAGACATTCTGTTCGGAACGTAGAAGTCGAAGAACAGTCCCAAGCGGAAGTGTATCCCAACAATCCACCGAACCAAGAACCTTACCCGAAACCTAATGTTGTCGAAACTGGTAGTATTCGCCAGACGACAAGTCGACCGGACCCAAGGATTGTCACCCGAAGAGTAGGAGTGTCAAGTGGATCAAGTGGATTCAACCCAAAACCATTTTACCATATAGCTACGCCGCCGGAAGAATATCCGGAGACCTTCCCGATCAATTCAGAAGATGAGTCCGACATTGACATCACGTATGTCAACACCATCCGTATGGTTCGAGATGTTGCAGATGAAACTGCAGAAGGTGAGGAAGTCACCAACCCATTTTTCGGTGAACTACCCAGTCCAGGTTTTACAGACTCAGATGAGGAACTTGGATCTGGAGAACCTACTGGAATTTGCCAAGGTTGTGGTACACGCTTGGAACTGGCTTGCACAGGTGCGCCACCAGTTGCGCCACCGACAGAGTCTGGAATCCCACGAGTACCAGAACATTATCCAGGAGAAGAACACTATCTGAGGCAACAGAGGAAGCTGAAAAGTGAAGGAAAACCTTACGACAAGAAAGCCATCGATGATGCGGTGAAGCGAGAGAATGAGTGGATCGAGTCTCACCTCAAAGCGACGGAGGAGAAAAAGGAGACCGAGACTGATAAAGTTCGAATGGTTCGTGAAGAATTCCATGATGTAGCAGAGTGGTATGTGATGGATGCAACGGATGAAGACGGAGACTGGTTTGTTGTAGACAACCACGAAGTAGTTCGAGCAGTTCAAGCAGAAGAGACTGTACCCGAAGAAGCACTTGAGATTATCATTTTGGATTCAGGATCGGATGCTAGTTTGTTACCTAGGTCACATCCGAAAGCGACACGCATGAACGCAGGAACGACGGGTATCATGTTAGAGGATGCCCAAGGGAATGCAATTAGGTCAGCAGGAATGGTCACGGCAGTGATCGCCGTGGAACAAGGAGAGGACTGTTGGACAGCCCCCAGTATTTCGGAAAGCTTTATTGTAAGCGATGCGACAAACATTCTGTTGTCGATGGGAAGACTGCTGAAGAATGGCTGGAAACTGGAGTATCAGCCAGAGGTACCTGAGGGTGAGAAAGCTCTTAGTGCTCAGTGGAACCTTACAGTGTCGTCAATGGTTTTGGTTAGCCCGGATGGAAGAGCGAACGCAAGGATCTTTTACAAACGGAACAGTTGTTGTTTGTTAGTGTTTATTATTTTGCCTCCTAGGAAACCCCATGCATTTTATCATGATTTGCTTTATCGTATTTCATGCACTCATGTGTTTCACATCGTGATTGCGCTATACTCCGCAGGCGTCTTTGAGGATTCAAAACATTTTCATGGTAGCGGAGCTTGGGAAAGCCCAAGCTTCGAGACACGTCTCGGGGCTCTCTTGCACATTGCGTTGCGAAGTGCGTTCGGGGAGCTCAGGCTTTGGAAAGTTTGTCCTGGACCTTTGGGGATTTCTGTTTCCGTTTAGGATCTAGGTAGGATCGCAATCCCGGCGCAGACCGGACGAGCCATTGCGTGCTCAGACAGAGCAAGGCCACGGCGTCTCTTGCCGCAGTAGAGGAGGTGAAGGAAAGGTTGCACAGCTTGTACGTTGAGCAGCTTTGTGAACGGCCCCGTCCCGAGGGCAGATCCGGTTCTTCTTGGGATAAGATCTTGTCAACCTATAGGGTAGCCTTTGAGCGGAGACTTGAAGAGTTGCATACGGTTGAGTGCGTGTGGAATTTTGCGAGCAAGTGTCTGAAGAAACAGCATTTGAGAGAAGTTTTTGAGGCATTCGCACCTGAAGACGTTGCTGAGAATTGCATTTCAGAGGAGTTGCAACAAGCTTCGTTACACCCGGTCGAGGAAGGCCCCAACTTCGAGCGCGATCTTCTTGCGAGCAGTGTTGAGTTGCAGGAGCTTTTGAGAGCAAGTGCTGATTGTGAGCTGCCAAGTTCTTCAGCAGTGCCAAAGCGTGCATTCAAGCGCCGATTGCAGCAGCAGAGTTCTGTGATTGATTTGGATTAATTTCCTTGATTTCTTGATCAGACAGAGAAGAGATGGACCATCAAGGGCAGAATGTTCAGCAGGGGCCGCAGTTGCCCCAGCAGCCCCTAGGGAGTGCAGGAGTTGAGCCGCCAGTGGCCCAGAACCCGTTCTCTCCAGGTGGGCAAGCACAGCAGCCAGCGCCACAGCTGGTGCAGATTGACATGACACAGATGCAATTGCTTATGGCACAGATGGTTGAGACGGCGCAAGCAGCGTCGCAGGCTGCTCAAGCAGCCGTTGCCCGGCCCTCGAGCAATTTGACTTCAGGATTTTCAGATGCGAATAAGATCCTTAATCGACCGTCGGAGTTTGGGTCCGGAGTGCACGACAACGACCTTGCAAATTGGTCTGAATGGAGCCACTCATTCAGAACATGGTTGGTTTTCGCAGAAAGTCAGTTCGAACAGGACTTAAAGCTTGTGGAGGATAACTTGCAGGGCCCTGTTGATCTGACTGGGGCTTCGCCTGATCGCATTGCAAGGTCTCAGAGGCTTTACGCGATCCTTGCAAGCATTCTGCGTTCGAAGCCAAAAGCGATCTTGCGTCAGGTCGTCAACAGAAACGGCCTAGAAGTCTGGCGGGTGCTCACCAATACCTTCGCACCCAAATCGAAATTCAGAGGACTCGCTCTCTTGAACGCTCTTATGACGCTCCCGAGCTTCGGGAAAGATCGCAGCCTGCGAGAACACATCCAGGGCCTCGAGAGAATAGCTGAAGAATATCAAAGGGTCACTGGACAATATCCTGGGGAAGAGGTTATGCTAGGCACACTAGTTCGGTCCCTTCCCTCTGCGATAAAACAACACGTTCAACTTCAGATGACAGACTCCAGTAGTTACCAAAGCATCAGGGACTACGTTCTGGGGCCTATGAAGTTACGACAACGTCTTGGACTCCAGCCAAAATGCACCAAGCTCTTGGTGTAGTGCCTTTACCCAGTGCTGTCGAGCAAGGCCCAGTCCCGATGGAGGTTGATGCACTTCAAAGAAAAGGGCCAAAAGGCAAGGGCAAGAAGGGCAAAGAGCAGAAAGGCAAAGGTGGACAGCAACCGCAGAATCCGTATGGTGGCAAGGGCAAGGCCAAAGAAGGCAAGCAAAAGGGCAAGAAGGGCAAGGAGCACAAAGGCAAAGGTGGACAGCAGCCGCAGAATCCTGGTGCCAAGGGCTCTAGGGCAAATGTAGTGTGCCACAATTGCCAGCGCAAGGGTCATTATGCTAGTGAGTGCTGGCGTCCGCGTGTGCAGCAAGTCCAGGCACAGGGTTCGGACACAGCGTCCACTGTTGCGCCTAGCACTGTTGGTCCTTCAGCATCGCAAGTCGCGGGCAGCGCTGCTACCACCACGAAGCGCGTTGCTAGAGTTGAGATAGACATGACTTCCAGTGCGTTTCAGGACGATGCCGAGATCAGCGGTCACTTGTGTGTTTTGACAAAAGTGTGTCCTGAGGACCCAGCTGCAGCTACTGCCCAGCCGAGTTTTGCTTCACTGTGCAAGTCTTTGGCGTCTGCATGCGTTGACCCTGTGAAGCCACATGTACTTGTGCCAGTGCCCGAGGCTGAAATGTTTGACATGTCATAGTCGGACGGTGATTGTGTCTGGACAGTGCCAGATGAGATGCATGGAGCCACATGTGTTGGTTGGTTGAGCAGTGCACGTGATTCTGAGTATGTGAAGTGCAAGGCGCCAGCCCGCAACCGTGCAAGGCCAGGTAGGCGATCACGGCCGCCACTGCAGTGCGAGCCGATGTTGCACACGTGCGAAGCCGCCGCTGAGCAGCTTGAGACCCCACCTGTGCATCCACTTCAGGACCTCAGTGTGTGTGCAGTGTCATGGGCAGACATGAGCAACGAGATTGAGGTTGTGGTCGACTCTGGGTCGGATGCCTCATGCTTGCCGCTGTCCTGGGCACACGTCGGAAGGGCTGATGGAGCGAGCCTTGATAGTTTCAGGGATGCCCAGGGTCGCATGATCAGGGGTTCGCAAATGCGTACGGCAGTGCTTCAGATTGATGGTGTTCAATTCAAGGAGCGATGGCTGTTGAGCAGTGTGACACAGCCGCTTTTCAGTGTCGGCAAGTTGCTCAGGCGGGGATGGGACATCATCCACAGTGACGGTGTTCCTTACTTGACAAATCCTGGGGGCACAGTGCGCGTGCCTATGCACTACCGGCACAATTCCTTGCATGCGCGAGGCTCCATCATGAGCGTGGTAGTGTGTGCCAACGACTGTTTGAGCGATGACAGAGAGGACGATGCGGCCCGACACCACGAGCCCCAGGAAGCCGAGCTTGATGATGAGCAGGTGCGCGGCAACGACCAGCAGGTCGAGGTGCCCCGGAGTGCTGAAGCAGACAGCCCTGTTGCGGCTGCGGTGCGTGCGCTTAAGCTTGGCAGTGCATGGCTGAACCTGGGTAGCCAATACACCGAGATGCAGCCTGGAATCTTTGCTAGGCAAGATCAGTCGGATCGGTTTCTTGATGTGTCAGTGCCGTTGAGCCACCATGGAGTGGGCTTCCGCACGACCCTTCAGTATGATGGTGCCGAATGGAAACTGATTGAAATCAACTGCTTGATCAGCCTCTTTGATGATCTTGAGAAGGAGTTTGAGCCTAAAGGATCCCGCCACATCATCACCATTGGCTCTGTTGACCCCTTGCAAGTAGAAAAGCTGTTTGATCATCAGCCTGTAGCGTGGAACGATGAAAGTTATGACGGCGAGTATGCTGATGCACCGCCTGATGAAAACATGCTTGAAGAGGATGAAAAGGCTGAAGATGTTGATGAAGGTGCCGGTGTAGGACCCGTGTCCCTCGCCGAAGTTCCTTCGCAGGGTCATGTTGTGGTCAATGGGGTTGAACTGCATCCCGGGTGTACCCTTAAGACCCTAAGGTCGGCCTGTGAGGTTCTTGGAATAGGCAAGTCCGGAGGAAAGCAGACGGTCTTTGCGAGGATCGAGCAACACTTGAAAACCCAGGAGTTGCTGCAACAACATGCTTTCCAGACTGATGGTGTGCCATTGCCGCTTGAACAAAAGTTTGTCGAAGAGCCAACTGCAGAGCAGAAGCGACGGCACGAGCTCAGTCATGTGCCGTATGCCGATTGGTGCCCACACTGTGTAAAGTTCCGCGCCAAAGCCGACAAACATGTGTCGAGCAAACCTGAGCTGCGGGACGATTCGGTGTGCAGCTTCGATTTTGCTTATACAGGACGGAGCAGCCCAGCTGAGTTTGAAGGTGCGTCAAAGGACAAGCTTGTTTGCCTTGTGATCAAGGACTCCCACACTGGAGCGATGCATGCTGTGCCAACGCCAGCCAAGGGCGGACCGGTTGCTTTCAAGTATCTTGTTGCCGAAGTTTGTCGGTTCTTGAATTACTGTGGGCATGAGTCCGTCACGATCAGGTCTGACGGTGAGCCAGCTTGCTTAGCACTTCAGCAGGGCATCAAAGCTTTTAGGACCAAGATGGGGTTACGCACCCACTTGGAACAGACCGAGCCAGGTGACCACCAGTCAAATCCGTCGGAACAGGCCATTGATAGCATCCGGCAGCTTGCAGGATGCATTCTTGACCAGTTTGAGGAGCGTGCCCAGACAACTGTAGGTGCAATGCACCCACTGCACGGCTATGCTTGGAGACACGCGGCATGGCTTCACATGCGAATGTCGCGGCACAACGACCTCAGTGCGTTTCAGGTGATCAATGGCCGGCCGTATGCAGGGAAACTCGTTTGTTTTGGAGAAAATGTTTACGCCAGAGTCAAGAGCAGTGTAAAAGGAAAAGCACGGTGGTGCAAAATGCTTTGGCTTGGAAAACTTCCTGTATCGGACCTGCACTTTGGAGTCACCGAGGGAGGATTCATGCTGTCCTCAAGGTCCGTTAGACGGTTGCCAAAGCAATATGATTCATCCTTGTGTGCCAAGCTGCGCGACATGCCTTGGAGCCAAGCGTCTTTTCTTGCAGGCCAAGTTGGTCAAGCACGCAAGCAGAAAACGCTTCAGGGTGATGAGGATGCCGGTACCGAGCCTCAGGTTGAGCAGCAAGCCGAAGTGCCTTCACAAGCAGGTGCGGCGGAGAATCCTTTGCCGTTTCCGGGTCATCTGTTGCCCGACGATGCAATGCTGCAAGAGTTTGTGCCACCGCTGCCCCGAGAGCCAGTGTTGCATTCACCTGAGCCGCCCACGCCTGTAGCGGCCACTCCAGGGCAGCAAGCAGAAACTCCGATGCAAGTTGAAACGGCCTCGCATTCGATGATGGGCCTGGGATTGCCTCTTCGTCCTCTGGGATAGCATTATAAGATTTTCTGTTGGACACACTGATGACATGTAAATTATTTATTTTGGCGTTCCGAGCTGTTCTGTTTGCCATTCCGTTTTGGCGTTCCAACTGCCATTTCATTTTTGCTGTTCGGCTTTGCTATTTCGTTTTGGCGTTCCAACTGCCATTTCCTTGTTGCTGTTCGGCTTTTCCAGTCCTGCTTCGGTGTTCCAACTGCCATTTCCTTGTTGCTCTTCGGCTTTGCTATTCCAGCTTTGGTGTACCAACTGCCATTTCTTTGCTGCTGCTCGTCTTCAATATTCCTATTTATCGTTCTGCCGCTGTTCCTAGAAGCAGTCTGGATCTGTTTGTTTGAGTTTGTCATACCAACAAACAGGGCTGAATGGCGGCACGTCTCTGTATTTGTGTAGTTCATGCTCTGTCTTCTTGTCTTTAGCATGGCCGCGCGGGCGACACATGTCGAAATAGGAAGGGGGTTGTGACGGGGGCGCCCAAAACAGCCACCACTCGTTCCCCTGTCCAGGGCTTGGCTGCCATTCCGGTTGCCGTTCCGGGTTGGTCTGCCATTCCGGTTGCCATTCCCAGAGCCGTTCCCCGGGAATGGCAACCGGAGTGGTTCCGGAATGGCACCCGGAAGGGCTCGGGGAATGGCAATGCTTCGAGGATTTGCCATTCCCGGCCTGCCTGGTTTGCCATTCCCGGTTGCCGTTCCCGGCTCCGGGCCCCCCTTCGGCTGCCATTCCCGTTGCCGTTCCCGGCTCCGGCCCCCCTTCGGCTGCCATTCCCGGTTGCCGTGTCTGACCAGCGACCCCATGCAGAGCACGGCTGCAAAATGCGTGTTTATTGCCTGGGGGAGCAGACATCGTTGGTAAGGCCGAGCGTTGCAATTCCAATCTCAAGAGCAGCGGCTGAGTAGCGGCCGCGCCATGTATTGTGGAACAATTGGGCCCTAGGCCCTGTGCCACATATTTGTTTGGCTACTTCAATCAGCATAATGCCCCAAAAGCCTTGACTTGTGACAAGCACAAATCCAAGCATGACCTACACTACACGTGGATGGTAGGGGTAGTGTCTGGACTCGAAATTACGGAATAGCAAACAACACGACATGAGATTGCGACGCAGCAAACTGGATTGCCACACCAGATCACCGCAAAACAGAAGCTGGCAGGAGCGCCAACTCAGGAATGGCAAATCAGACAAACCACAAACGAGACGTTCCCAGGAACACCAAATCTGGAATGGCAAAACCCACCCTTGGGAATGGCAAAATAATTATTTAGCAAAATCCAGCCCTGCATGCCAAACAATCTTATAAGGATAGCACGTCCTGCGACTGAGGAAGCAGGCGGGGAAGCTCCAGCCCGAAAGAAACTTCGTCTTGATGCTGTTCAGACAAGTGCATATGACTGTGAGATGTTCCATCATGATGAGGCTCCAGAGCTTCTTGATGAAAGTGCAGAGCAGTTTCTTGACTGTCAGGATGAGTCCATTTGGGACACCGAGGATTGGGCTGATGACTCAGCCAATGCACCTGACGTCCCGAGTATTTTGATTAAGCCTTTCAGTGAAACTGAGCCAGTGTGCGATGCATCCGAGCTTGAAGCCATTGATGCTGCAGCAGATTCCTTTGAGCTTGAGCGGTTGACAAAAGCCGTTGTTCTTGAACAAAGTGAGTCCTGGCTTGAAGGGCATCGGACATTGTCTTCAAAGTACGTTCGCACCTGGAGGCCTAAAGTGATCAATCAGGAGCGCGTTTGGTTGCGCAGAGCCAGGTTAGTTGCGCGCGAATTTGCGCATCTAGATCCGGGCAGGCAACACTTGTTTGCACCGACGACGACCCAGTGCATGCTGAGAATTGTTCCATCGCTTTTCATTCGCAACTTTGGGGACGGTTGGTCTCTACTGAGTCTTGATGTGTCTGACGCTTTCTTGCAGTGCAAGCAACAGCATGATACCTTGACAAAAGTTGATGGAAAATGGTATAAACTTTTCCGAATGCTGCCTGGGCAACGGGACGGATCTGCTACCTGGTTTCAAGATTTTATGTGTGAAATCCGCGCAGCTGTTGCTGCTGAGCCATTGGCAGAGCAGCCAGTGTTGTTTCGCATCCCACATGCGGAAGGCAACCACAAGTGCCAAGGAGGTGGAATGGTGCATGTAGACGACATGCTTGCGGCAGGATTGACCGCACGCCTTCAGGAGCTTGAGAATCACTTGAAGTCAAAGTTCAAAGTGTCCAGTGAATGGATCCGCCAAGTAGGCGACGAGGTTTCCTTCTTGAAGCGGCGACTGATCCTAGTCAGCCCCAATTTGCTGGTTGTTGAGCCTGATATCAAATATCTTGAGAAACTCTTGAAGATCACTGGACTAGATGGTGCCAAGGAGCGGTACAAGGCGGCCCCGTTCCCGACTGGAGGCCTGCCGACAGACCTTTCATCGGACCGCGAGCTGAACTCGCATCCATCATGCGTGCGTGAATGGGTTTTATTTTCCGCCGAAAGTGTAGACAAAGTTTGTCGAAAAAGGAAAACAGTGTTTTCACTTGTGTGTGAGTGACACTAGACAAGCTTTGCCGTGCAGCTTTCGGCTTGAAGTTGGATCTGTGATCCAAAAAGTTTTTATAGAGTAGCTTGTAGTGCTCCGCAGCAGTGGGGGTCGTCAGCGACGACCTTCCACTCCCTTTGATATAACTGTCAGTGCCAGTTATGGTTGACCAAGCAGCACGCATTTATGCGGCTGAGTCGCCAGAGGCGCCGTACCCTAGGAGGGACGGTCAGGAAAATAAGTTGGCAGCGCCACAATGCCTGCAACGCGTGCGACAGTGTCGCTCCTGCCTCCGCTTTTTGCAGTGCAATCCAATATTTGTGCTAGAGCAGGCCATGCGTGAAGAAATGGCACAACAGGAGATAAGTTATCTCCTTTGGGCCCTCAGTTGCGCCATGCGGGTAGACCCCGCGGTCGTCAGCGACGACCACGAAGCCCTCAATCGAGCAGGGGAAGGGGAATCCAAAGTTTGGCCCCCCTTCTACCCTTTTGCGCAGATGCAGGGGGAACAACCGGACACTTCAGGCAGTGCCTATCCGATGCACCGGTATACTATGTCGCAGCGCGACGTGCCTATGTGGCCAGCGGCCACGCCTGGCTGGCCGTATACCGCCCTTTTTGACTGGCCCCCCAGTGGGGAGGAAGACAATGTACCCAAGCTCCAGTGGAGACTTACTTGGGTGGATGCCCTAGAGGGCCACGTGGCTGCTTGGCACCCAGAGGGTAAGGGCAAAGGCAAGGGTGGTTGGGTCAAGATTCTCCCTTCGGAGAAGAAAAAGAAAGACTGCCAGCGGCAGTACTGACCCTACCGCCTCGTCCAGCACTGCTCTGCCGACAGCGTCGGCATCAGCCTCGGACCCTCCCTTGCCGCCGCCAGCAGCCGCCCCTGCTAAGCCTGTTTCGGCCACAACAGGCAGCCCGCCCTCCGCCGAAGCTGCCGGCGTCGCCCCGCCAGCGGCGGAGCCCGTCATTGAAGTCATCGACACTGACAGTGATCAGAACTCGGGAGACTCCGAGGTGTCCTTGGCTAGCAGCCAGGCCGCAACGGCAGTGCCGTTCGCGCCGAACGCGAACACTGTGGTCGTGTCCAGACCGCAGCGTCGTAATCGCCAGCGAGGCTGGCAGTTTCAGCCCGGGGAGGACCCCCAAAATAATGACTGGCGTAACCTTGGGTCAGCGACCGACAGCAGGTACCCCGGCCTGCGTGCGCTAGTAGCGCACGCCAAACGGGTCTCGCCGCACCTGCACGTCACAGACGTGCACGAATGGCCCTACTGGGCAACCCCAGACTCAGAGAGATGGGAGAAATACCCGGAGAGGCGTGGCGACCTCATGTGTTGCATGCCTTGCGCGCAGCAGGGCTGCATCTCCCAGGGCATGGCGATTTGTGGTCGGCACTGCTCAGTGGGCAGGAGCCCCCACAATCATCACGAATGCGAAAACTGCTATCGCGGTGGCCGGGGTCAGCGACCCAGAAACCGCGGCGTCAGGGGCGGCCGCCGTTAGGCGTTCAGTGCAGCGAGTAGCTGCTGGCCTCTCAGCGAGTCGCCCCCTGTTGGTGCAGTGCACCTCTTTTTGGTACGTGCCGCCGACAGCTCGGCAGCCTCTACAGGGCGGGCGTCTCCGAGGTACTTGGAACGTCGCCCACAGCGGCGGGCCGACGGCATGCTTTGAATGGTGGCAAAAGATCGCCGCTAGTGTGCTTCAGTCGTGTGTCACGCGAGCCTGGTAGGTCTCTTCAGCTGTGTCAGCTTCTTAAACCGTGTCGGTTCTCAAGCAGTGCTTTCTTCCCGCAGCCTTTTCAGCTTAGTAAGTCGCCCCCCGTGCCCAAAACAACCCCGCTTTCAGCGGAAGCCTCTGTCTGCCATCAGAGATGGCGAACCCTACAAATGAGCAGATGCTGCAGGCGCTCAGCGCAGTGCCGGAGGCCCAGAGGGCCGCCCTCTACGAAGCAGCCGTCTCCCTATCAGAGATAGGGGACGTGGTAGTGAATGCGGCAGAGGCAGCGGAACTCGCTGGTTGGACGAAGCCCGCCAGTGGCGGCACAGAGGCCAATGCAGTCGCGCTGCAGCGACTCTTGCTCGGCTACGAGCCCCCAGTGGTGCCGGCAAACACCGAGCCACCAGTGGCGGCACGTGGTGTCTCTTCCGACGGCCACCGCAGCGCGGCGGCCAGTTTGCCTCTGACGACGGCTGCAGCGCAGGCCTCGCTACACCGCCCTCCGACCAGTCCCGCTGAGGAAGCGGGGTCTGGCATCAAGGAAGAACCGCTTCCAGCGGAAGCTCCCCCGGCAGCGCCGGACGACATGGACGTGGAGGAGCCCAGCGGGCGGCGGGATGCAACTGAAGATGACCGAGGCTCCCGCTCGGAAGAGTCGGAGTCAGAGAGCGACTCCCCGCCGCCGCCAGCGCAACCGCATCCTCCTCTTGAGGGCAAGGTCGCTCGCAAGTCCTCAAGCCCCCGA